CACTGCCCTGTATTCTGCAGTATCACCCATTTTTATTGCTCCCTTTCTTGGGGGTGGTGACTGTCACTGGCCTGCACTCCTCAAACTCCTCGTCTCTCTGAAGACGCCTTAGCTCCTATCATCCCGCTTGTTCCACGAACCCTGGCCTCACTTTGCATTTCCAGATCCCCTTCTCAGAGTGCTCTACGGTGTGATCAGTGAATGGATAATCTTACTATGCCTTTTAAAAGTGTTTCTTGTTTGTTTTGAGGCTAATCTCAAATTCACAGCAATCCTCCTCTCTCATCTTCCTAAGTAGAGGAATTTTAGATGTGAGTCACTGTATCTGTCTTGAGCTGCAACCTTTATTCTTTTGCTTTACTAGCTTGCAATATTTAATAACCATTCTTTTTCTTTCTTTTTTTTTTTTTTTTTTGGTTTTTCCGAGACAGGGTTTCTCTGTATTGTTTTGGAGGCTGTCCTGGAACTCGATCGGTAGACCAGGCTGGTCTCGAACTCAAAGAGATCTGCCTGCCTCTGCTTCCTGAGTGCTGGGATTAAAGGCATGCGCCACCAACACCTGGCAAAAACCATTCTTTAAATGCTATTGAGGCAATTATATTTTGATCTATCTCAGATGACAAAAAAAGCTGTAAAATTTAATCAGATTAGAAACTAAGGAAGAGAGCTATTTTACAATTGTTGGCTTGGGAAGGCTATTCCAAGAGAGATTAACATCCTTAAAGTCAGAGAATCTTTACTAACTTAGGGCCAGGAATTTAAACAAGGCCTTGCAGTGTAGCAGTGAGTGCACTCTCATGCTCCAAAGGCCCTGAGTTCCCTTCCCAATACAAACCCCAAAGAAAATACATTAAGTTAAAAGATAAAGTAACAAACTGATGCCTTTACATCAAAATCAAATAAACCATCCAACCCTGACGCTGGTTTAGGACAGCAATGAGGGCAGGCTGGGCAGTTCTGGGAGTGGATGGAGAAAACACTCATGTGGAGTGAAGCAGTCAGGAGGACGCTGACCTCAGATGCTGAAGAAAGGACCGATGACAGGGTTTGGTTATGAAATGTCCCCATTTGCTCAGGGGCTGGATGCTTAGTGTGCTGCTGCTATATGTGGTGTTTGTGGAAAATGTAGGAGACACTAGCCCACTTGGAACATGTGGCCCTGGCAGGCCTTACCCTTCCCATTCCCTCTGCCTTGCTAAAAACCATTAGATTACGTTCCTAAAGGTAGCACCCAAGGGTTACCTTCCTAAAGCTAGCACCAAGGTGCCTTCCCTGACTTGGCCACTTCCTCCTTCTGAGACTGACTACCAAAGTCCAGCAATCAGAAGCCCCCTATGGCTCACCTAGTTTACATGCCCGATGAAAATTAAACACCTCATTGTAAAGAGAAGCTTTTTCCTTGAGAGAAGCCTTCCCGCCAGTCTGGTTCTAGAGCCGCATCAGTCCCAAATAAACACACAGGAGGCTATACTAATTATGAAGCTGTTGGCCTTGCTTGTTTCTTACTGGCTAGCTCTGACTTAAGTAATTACCCCATAATTGTTAATCTAGGTATTTCTCTTACCGGAGAATAGTTCCGGGCTTCCTACCCCATGGCGTTACATCTCGACTCCCTGTGTTTCCCCTACCCAGAGTCCTTCTGGACTCCTAGTCCCTCCTGTCTAGATTCCTATTGGCCAGCAGTGCTTTATTGACAAAGGACTTCCCCAACATCTCATCCTAACACAGGGTTTCCCCCTCTACCTTTATAAACCACCATTAGCCTATGTGCCATGTCTGTCTCCCCTATCCAGAGGCCGTCCTTTGTCCCTCTGGGACAACCACCCCTGCCCTTTTTCCTTGTCCCCTTCTCCTTCTTCCTGGTCCCCCACCTGCTTTACCTCTGCACCATAGGCATTCTAACACAGACCTCTCCTTCAGGAGCAACACATGCAAGGTCATTTGCTGCTGTTTTCCTGCCCGAGTCAGAAAGCAGACACTTTAAGCTTCTCTTCCCTGCTTCATAAAGGAAATCTGTGAAAACAGGTGTTTGGGTGTGGTTTGTGCCCAATCCAGGGGCTGGAATGGAGCCTGTGCAGACGAGGAGACAGCATGGAGGGTGTTGGTCATGGGGACTCCTTGTAGGAATCCTTGCTTCCTGTCATACTTCGTTCTTCCCACCCCCATGAAGACAGGAATCTCATCTGCCACATTCGCCTGCTACCCAGGGCCACAAAGCCAAGTGACCAGACTGAACCCTCTGAAACCAAGATCCCAAGAGGCCATTGGCCATTTGTCCCTTAATTAGTTTATCTCAGGTACTTGGCCACAGTGATAAAAAAAACCAACATCACACACTGCATAGCAACCATCAAGACCAATGCCTCAGAAGACCTAAAGGAACTTTTCAACTTGCCCAGGGAGATGTTAGGCGCCATATGTCTTCTCCTGATGACATACAGGAAGGCATCTTGTAGGTCCTAGTAACATAATGCTCATTACAATTAAACTGTTGAGTATTACAACTAAAATGTTCATTGCTATTTCTTCTCTTTTGTTTGTCTCCCCTCTCTTTTCTTTAGATCTTTCCTCCAATTTCATTTTCATTTGTTTACAGAGGAACAATCTGGTATGTATTCTTTGGAAGAGGGTTCATGGATTAGACACACTCAGTGTTTTTAGATGTCTGAAATGTCTTTTGCCTTCTTGCTACGACATGAAACTTTGCTGGGATTCTTAAATTGGTTTGGATAATCACAATTATTATTTTCCTGTCTTTGAAGTTCATATGTTGAACTGACAATGTATCATATGCCAGTTTTTCTTTAGTAAATATTTTCTCCCCCTTTCTGGGTAGACTAAAAATTCTGAGAATCTTTTTCTTTAGTATTATTAAAATAATGCTGGAGAATATGTAAAAGAATCTATGGTGGTTTCAATGAAATGGCCCCCATAGAGTCATATGTTTGAACACTTGGTTCTCAGTTGGTGAAATTTCTTGGGAAGGACTAAGGAGGTGTGGCCTTGTTGGAGGAGGTGTCACTAGTGGCAAGGTTGTGAGGTTTCAAAAGACTCATTTCCCTTTCTTTTTAGGAGTGGGAATAAATATGCAACTTGGAAGAATGCCAAAAATTTGCAGCTGAAATGCTACCCAGATCTCCTATGGTCTTTTTTTTTTTTTTTTTTTGTAATTGTCAAATAGAGCCCCACAGGAATTCCTGTCAGGGATGCAGGTTTTCCATCTCTGAGACACACTGGATCACAATCTATATGTTTAACAAATTTCCCAGATGATTCTGGAGCATATTAACGTTCAGGAAGAACTAGTATATCCAGTAACTGTTTGGAAGTGACAAATATTCATGGAATTTTCCTTTGATTTTCTACAGGTTAATTAAAATTTTATTGTGTTTTAGTTTTTGCTTTTAATTTATAGTACGCATACCTTTGGAGAGGTCAGAGGACGCCTTGCAGAGGTCTGTTCTCTCTTCCCACCATGTGGGTCCTGTGGCTCAAACTCAGGCCGTAGGGCTTGGCAGCAGGCACTTCAATCCACTCAGCCATCTCTCCACAGCCCATCCTTATGTTTTATAGGGTTCCCGTTTGCCTGTGGCCTCCCCAGCCAAGCTTTTGCCTAGTTCTACAATTTCAGATTGGTATTCTTTCTAATTCTCTCATCCAATCAGGAAGGGGTTTGTGGCCTTCAGAACATCCATGCCCCTATTGCACTGGGGGACATACCTTCCTGGGTAGTTCAGTATGAGTGCACAAGATTTGCAGCCAAGGGTGATCCCTAATGACTTGTGTCCCCCAACAGCCTGGGCAGCACATCCTGGCACCATGAATGCCAGCTGGCAGCTCAGTTTTGTCTTATGAGTCCATCCCATTTCCTCTTTAAATGACTCTGTTCCGTAACAGGCTGTTATGGGGGATGGAAAGGGTTTCAGTTTACATATCGATGGCACAAACAAATAAAAGCCTGTCACGTAACTCTAAGTGAATGTTAATCTTTGAATGCTAAATATAGGAAGTCAGAAGTAGGAAAGACACTAGAGACTGAAACAATGGTTTTTTAAAAAAAAAGCCAACACTGTCGTACTTCTAGCACGAGGAAGACCCATGCTATCCCACAAAAATTATGATGCCGAATCATCTCCCATGTTGGTTGGTTAGAGGTACAAGACGAAATTACAAAACTGTAGGCGAAAAGTACTTAGGATAAGAATGGCTTGGCAGAACTTTCTCACATTGGTGTATTTTCAACTGGTCTGTTAGATCACTATATTTTATCACGATGTAGTATACTTTTTGTGGTTTCTTCTAAGTTAGAAAAACTGCTGGTCCATGGCTTCCTGTTTAAATGACACTTTTCATGGATGGGGTGGGGGGGGCGTGTAGGGGTGGACAATGCTGCCTTGGCACTTGCCCATTTACTGGTACTAATTATCTTGTCACAGTGGTTTGGAAATGTACACCTTAAGACAAATACATGACAGAACAATTGAATTCCACGTTTGTGAGATAAGGGAAGCTAAAATTCCTTTTGGCATACTGACATTCTGAGCTTGTAGAACTCAGTGGGATAGCCTGGGCAACGTCAAGTAGGGCATTAAACCTTTAGTATGGAAAACAGGTTTCACCAAACCAAATTGTTCCGTGATGATTTCTAAGTACTGAAACAAACAAACAAACAAACAAACAAACAGTATTTTGAGAAAGACTCCCTATATAAGACCAAGGGAAGCCTTGAATTGTGTATGTAACCAAGGCTGGACTGGACTCACAGAGATCCTCCTGCCTCAGTTTCCCCAGTGAGGGGTTACTTCACCTTGGACTTCACTTTATAATCTTATGTATGCTGGGCTTCTCTACAGAGCATATCAACCTACTAATGACCTATGTTCATATATCATCCACCTGTGGATATATTCTTGAGTCCCCGTCTGGGAGAACTGGGGGGCCATTTCCTGCATTAAATAATTTGTGAAACTTCTTTTGCGACCCCTCTCCTCAGTACTCACCGGTTCCTAAAGTAGTACTGAGTTTCTAGGAACGACGACCGTGCCTGAAGCTTGGCTAAAGTAGCCATGGCCTCCAGGCCTAGGGTTTACCAGGGTTGTTACTAGGGGTCTCCATGGCAACTGGGCTGAACCAAGGGCACTTCCGACTCACTCCCTTTCCCTTTCTCTCTGTCGAAGTTCCAGGTAACTGGACCTAGAATTCGGATCTTTTTTTTTTTTCTTTTAAATGTGAGGACCGATTCAGCCCACTCGCTCCCTTCCCCTCCCGGACTTTTCCTAGAGGCGCTGACTGGGAACGGCCCGCCAAGCGCAGGGGAAGGGAATGGTCGCTTCCGGCTTCCGGTTTCCGCCTCCAGCCCGCTTCCGGAAGCTCCTCTCCAAAATGCTCCAGTGCTGTGTGGAAGTGGCCGGGGCTGCGGGAGTTGGAGTCGGTCCTCGGGCCTGAGCCTCGAGGCCGCGCTCCCGGGTGTCGTTGATGTTCGGGGCCGCCGGGCGCCCAGCGATCGGAGCCGCCGCCGGGAAGAGCTGGTGAGACCGGCGGGCCGCTGAGGACGGGGCGGGCGGGCGGTCCCCAACGGGGCGCTCCCGGACCCGGGGGCAACCAACCAGCCGTGCACCAAGTTCCTTCGGGCCCGGTTCCCGCCGCCCCCGCTAAACCGGTCACCTCGTACCCAGTTGCACGAGTGACGGGATTTCAGAAATGCACAGTTCTGGAAGTTTTCTTAGGGGGGAGAGCCGTGAGGCTCCCGTACTCCCTGCGCAGCTCTCCGCCACCTAGAAGGTTCTGTCCTGGCTCGCGAGAGATGGGAGTCGTCCAGCAGCCTTAAGGTTGGGTTGGGATTGGCCTCCCGCGGTCATGGCCTGCTGCTCTTAAGTTTGCAAACCGCTCCTGCCCGTCTCCCTTTGCCCTCGTGGCATCCGAAGGTTGAAGAGGCCAAGTTTCCCTGTGCTCTTGAGTGCTAGCGAGGCTGTGGGTTTCCTACTTGAAAGCCCCGGTCTGCCCCCACCCTCACCCCCGGCCACCCCCCCGCTTCTTCCAAGGCTTTCCCCGGCAGATAAACATAAGTGACACCAGAAAGTTGATGCCCTACCGACAGTCTTGAAACATAAAATCCGACCAGTAAGTCAAAGAAATTTAAAGCCCATGCCTACCTCCGGAGTCAGAAAGAACAGGAGACCCTGTGATGGGCCGTGTCGTCAGGTTCTTTCGCCTCACCTACCGCTGAGACGTTGAGGGGACATCTCAGGCCAGATGCTTGACTCCTCACCCTAAGCATCATTTGTCAGAGAGCCCTGGCTTTCTTGTGACCTTGGAGTTCTCAAGGCTTTCAGATAGCGAAGTGGAGAGTGCTTTGTTTTTTTGTTTTTTTGTTTTTTTTTTTTAATGAGCCGATTTAAGTTGCTGTAGTCAGCTTGGGGTAAGAGGCACAGCTCTTAATGTGTTAATTTTTGTTAGTCTTGGCATCTGGACTCGGCGGAGCCACCACGCTTAGATGTGATAAGCGGACTTCCCAGCATCCTGGTGTGTCCTCTCAAGTGTACTTCTCACTTTATGGTGTCCTGGTAAGGGATGGAGGTGCAATGCTCTCTCTAGACTGGTCTGGTCTCACCGGAGAGGAAGGAATTTGTATGGGACCCTTTTCCCCCTTGTTCGCTTTCCATCTCCTGCCCCGGAATATTAACGCATCGATTTCGGGACTGGAATGGTACTTGCTGGACTTCTGACTTGACAGGACACTCATCATTTCTGATGAGACAGGAGTGCCACTAGCACTTTCTGGCTTGTGCTTTTGAGAGAAATTCTCAAAATCCGTCCCGATTGGCGGAAGAGGTGTGTGCCACAAAGGGGGAACCTTTATTTCCTCGATAACAAGCACAACTGTGCAACCATTCAGTCTCCCTCCCTCCTTCCCTCCTGTCCACACTCTCCCCTTTCCTTCCAGCTCCTTTCTTCTCTCTTTCCTGGGCCTGTTTGAGTTTTGTGTGTAGCCCAAGATGACTTCCACCTGTGTCAGCCTTTCCAGTTAGTGGGATTGTAGGCATGTCCTGCCTTGCCAGGCTTTTGTATTTCTTAAGGCAGCTTTTTGTTTCATTGAACTGCCTTGCATGATTGTTTTATCCAAATTTTGGTGGTTGCTACCACAGAGTAGTTAATTGGTGTTTTCTCTGTCCATGTATGTCATCTCATGTAAATTTATGAGATGTCATGTAAGTGCAATACCTTGTTTACATTTTAGATGAGATGACAACAGAGGTAAAGGTAATTTAAATAACTTCTCTAAGTGATTTATTTGCAGTGTGATTCTAGTGTACGTACTTAAAGAAAATCCCTCACCACCCTAGTGTACTCGTTATGTCTGACTAATGTAGCATCTATAGCCATTTATGCATTAGGAAAATGCATGTCCAGATTTGTAAACCAACCTACAATTTCTGAGGTAGTCTGTTTTTATTTAAATAGACTGTTTTGTGGCTTTGTTTTTTACAACAGTAAAAAAGCCATTAAAATGGATTCTGGACCTTCTAGAATTTCCTTCTTATTTGGTTGATTTTCATTACACCTGGAAAACTATATAATAAAAACTGCTTGTTTTGAGTAGCTGATTCTTTTGGGAGGGGGCGTCTTGGTGTCCTAAACTGTTAGGTTTTCTTTATTCTGCATACTCCTTCAGTTAAAGATCAAAGCAATAGAAAGTATGATTTGTGGGATAGCTATTTGTATGTCAAGCCGGAAGCCTGTAAGCTAACTCTGATAGTTTGTTTTCAAGTTTCCTTTTCTTAAACTGTTAGAATGCCTGTCGTAAAATCCATATTGTCTGAAGATTTTAGTAAAGTTACATTCAGTGAGTCAGCCTTTGGGTTGTACATCCTACATAGTCTTCTCATCTGGTTATTTGTCAAACAGTATGGTCAGTACTCTCATTTAATCCTTAGCTGTTTTTATATTCCTCATCTAGGAATTCAAGATATATATTCAGTAAATATATACTGTGCAATTTATCATGTATAAGAAATAATCAAGCTATTTCTTACCCTACCAAAGCTTGTTGACAATGAATTACTTTTTAAATTCAAAGTTTTTGTCTTGTTTGACTTAGACTCTGACTGCATTTCATTTAGGTATTTTTTTAAATGAATAATGTACATTTTGAAAGTAATTAGAGGCAACGAGAAAAGTTTGGAAGACTTGAAGTCAGTCATTAAATGAAGTAACAGAAAATAAAATAATGGCCTCCGAGTTTAAGAAATGAGCTCATGTTTTTAAATCACTAGTTGAAAAGTAGAATTAGACTCTTCTTCTTTTTCTTCCTCTTCCTCTTCCTCTTCTTCCTCTTCTTCTTCTTCTTCCCCCTCCCCGTCCCCCTCCTCCTCCGATCTTAAAAAAGTTTCCTAGGGTAAAGAGGAAAGAAAGTTTTCTTTCGAGTCTCCTGTGCCAAAGTGAGAAAGCGGCTGACACGCTCAGTGGCCTTTGTTGTCTTTCCTGGGAGAACTTTGTGATTCTTAACTGCGCCCTTTAACCCTCTAGTTACTCACATCTGTATATGAGAGCAGAGCAAATGCAGTGAAGACAGGTCTAGCCCAACATCTGACGGAATTCTACCTCTGCCTCCTGCAGTACTGAGGCCACAGGCACGATCCACCACACCAAGCCATAAGACAGCGTTTCTTTTTGTTTTAAGAATTGGTCTTTTCATTTATGTTCCTGTGTGTATGCCAAGGAGGTCATGAGAGGTCATAGGAGCCTCTGCCCCACCCACCCGCTGAGCTGGAGATTCAGGGATTGTGAGCTATGCTACTTGTGAGCTGGACCCTGAACTTTGGTCCTTGGAAGAGTGCTAAGGATTCTTAACTACTACTGAGCCATCTCTCCCTCCCGAGAAGCAGCCTCTTCATACATGTCTAGGTCAGGAGCCGTTTCTGTGATGTGCTGGTGGTTTGGGCATGCTGGCAAGTGTTTTACCACTGAGACATACCCCTGCTGTTCTAGCTTGAGATACAGACTCATTTTGATAAATAGCTATGATTAAGGAAGGAAAATTTTAAGTTCCTGTGAGCAGCAGGAATTTTTACACTTGAGATAATTCTTATAGATCATATTTTTGTTTGATTAGTCATAAAATATAACCTTTACCATTAATGTGGGATCTTTTACCATTTATATGTTTATTTAACCATTGCCATAATCTCTCCTATTAAGTATTCATTTTCATCAGAACCTTTTGGCTATTTGCTGAATATGAGTCAGGCCAAATAGCCTTTCCTAGATAGCTTTTTTTTAAATCATAAAATGTAGTAGCTAACATGATATGGAAATAATAGAATTTCATCACTGCTTTCTTGTTTGTGAGTAGGTCATATACTGTACATTCATAAACATAGTTCTTCACTACATATACACATTTATAGTATTTATGTATGTCTGTGGGTTCTGATGCCTTGGTGGCTTAAATGATCCTTTTTTTCAGGGATCACATATCAGATATCTACATTCTGATTCTTAGCAGTAGCAAAATTGCAGTTAGGAAGTAGCAATGAAAATAATTTTATGGTTGGGGTCACCACACTATGAGGAACTGTTATTAAAGGCCCACAGCATTAAGAAGGTTCAGAAACACTAATGTAGTTTTTTTAGGCCATCTGTGGTTGGTCTTAGTAAGTATAATATATACTTAGTTGCCACTGTTAAGTAGTTTAGCAGAAGAAAGAGTCCATGTTTCATATAGGTGACAGTGGGACTATGATTATAATTAAGTGATAAATTGCATTTGATTTTTGTTTTTCCTTTTTTAATATTTGGTAACTGAAACAGTTTAGTTCCATTTGAAAGAGTTTTGTTTGGTGTAATAAACTAGTGAAGTCAATCAGTAGATATACATTTAAATATTCTCTTGTTACACTATTTTGAAATTTCATTGGTAACCAGGACAGAAATATATATTCCTGAAAAACAATTGACTCTGCCCGCTTCTTAGGAATAGCAGTTGCTGGCGAGAGAGGCATCAAGAAGCAATAGTTATTAATAAAATAGGCTTTGAAAACAACTGACTCATCAAATCTCGGAACAAATACATTTTATATTGCTCAGCGTAACCCAACACTACCTGAAAGGTGCTCATTTCCTTGATAAAATCTATAAATATAGCAGGACTAGAAGATTGTCACTGAACTGCTGCTCTTGACAATATACCCAGTGCTGTTTCCTAAGATTTCATTTGCAAATGTGGTTCAAATGAAGAGACTTAACATATGAAAAATAAGCATCTCAATCAAGTGGTACATTCACTGAGTTTATATATATATAACTCAAATATATATATATTTGTTTTTGTTTTTTTTTTTCGAGAGAGGGTTTCTCTGTATTGTTTTGGAGGCTGTCCTGGAACTCATTTTGTAGACCAGGCTGGCCTCAAACTCACAGAGATCCACCTGCCTCTGCCTCCCGAGTGCTGGGATTAAAGGCATGCTCCACCTACACCTGGCCTCACTGAGTTTATATTAATTCAGATTAAAACTCTGGCTGTTCAGTAAATCTAGCTTTGTACAGAGAAGTCTTTATGTTTCTTCATTTCTCCTTTATTAGGTAAGATCTTGTGTAAGAAAATAAATATGTCTAGAATAAAGTGTGTTAGTACAGTGGTCTGATACTTCAGGACAATAGCCCAAACAAAGGAGGTGTAAGAGCTGTTCAGCTGATGCGCTTTTACCTGGAAGATGTAAGTGAAACAATATGATATTAATTGCCTAATATTGTTAGTTCATCCATAGGGATTTTGCTTGGAATTGAGTTGTGGAAAAGTAGAGTAAATTAGTGGTAAAAAGTGATTGAACTTTGAATTGAAATAATATTAAATATACTTTTTTCTGTATATCTGCAGTTTTGAAAGAATTCTCTAAAGTAACTTTTAGTCAGTTTATGCTGCTATAGAATTCACTGGATTCTAGTCACAGTATTTTATTTTCTCAAGAGAAACAATAGAAAATTGGGTAATGGTAGCTTAATTTTAATGAGATTCTAAGAAAATTTGCTTCCATTTTTAGTCATATTGGTTATATTTTGTTAAAATTTATTAGTTATGGAAATCCCTTTTCAAAAAAAGTTAGGTTATAAGGAACTGGAGGGCTAGGTCTTTTGGAAAAGCAGTTAAGAGCATTGGCGACTAAGTCTTCCAGGAAACCTGTGCTCCATTCCCAGGCACCCACATTGCTGCTCTCAACCTGTGCTCCATTCCCAGGCACCCACATTGCCTCTCAACCATCCTTAACCCCAGTCCCAGGGGAATCCTCCAGCGCCTCCTTCTAATGCACTGTGCACAGTGAATACTCATTCATATATATAAATGCAAAACACTACGTATGAAATAAAATCAATGAGAAAAACTTAAAAAATCAGTTGATGCTTAGCATTACAGTGGATTAAATGGGTAAGTTCATCTGGTCTAACATTAAGAACACTGCCTAATCCTCTGATGCAGAGGAATCTTAGCTGCCATCTAGAGTGTCTTTCAAGTGTGTGTTTGAGTCACCATGCGTCTGAAAACTGTTCTGAATGACTTTTTGTTTATACATTCAGACTATGAAAGGAGTTAGGTCTGGAGCATGCAAACCCAGGGTAGCTGGAAGGCACCAGCATGTTATTCCGGCATTCACATTGTATGCTGCCAACCCTGCAGAGTTGTCTGCTGAACTCAGTTTACCCTCAACAGCTACGCTACCCTGTATGCTGTGCTGAGTTAGGCTTTCTATATAGTGAATAACTAGTCTTAAACCTTTGGCTTTGACATTGGTGTCCATTAAGTCTGTCTTGACAGTTAAAGTAATGAAACAGAAGTACGGAGTGGATGGTGGAACTGGGCTGCTGTCCTCGCTAGGCACTGGTGCTCCGGAATTAGATGGCAGGTTAAAGCCATATCTACCATTCAGATTGGTCACAGTGACAGATCGCTTGCTGTTTCTATTTTGTTTATCACCTCAGTGTTGTATGAGAATGAACTGAGGCAATATGGTTAGTAAATATTAGCAGATAGGAAATACTCAACTGTTAGATGGCATATGTAGCATTGTAAATGATACTTCATTTTTGATAGCTGGTAGCTGCTCAGGAGATGAGATTGCTCTTCATAATTCTCGTTAGTTTAAGAAGGAAATCTTGCCTCAGAAGAAGGGTAGAGACAGAAGAGCAGCACCGTCATTGTATATCCACTCAGGCATGCTCAATCGTGCTTATATGCACCCATTAGATCACCATGTATGCCTTTAGGTTTTAAATGAATCTGAAAAGTTACAAACTGCTATAGGGTTTTGCTAAAGCTTAAAAATTTGTAGATGATAGAGATTATATGCAGCTAGAGAGTATAGAGACCAAGGATTGGAAAACTGTTTGGATACCACTTGATTTTATTAAAAATGAAAGCAAACCACCTTACAGGTCTCATTCATTTATGACTGCTTTTACATTATAGTGAGGAATGGAGTGATAAGAGACTGTATGGCTTCCACAACCTAAACTAATTGTAATTTAACCCTCTGCCAAAAAAGTGTGTTTACTCCTCTTACAAACTCTACAAGCTCTATGGGCCTCTAGAGGACTCTTGGGAATATTTCCATGCCTGTTCAGGTTTGAGAGGTGATAGGCCATGATTTGTATAAGTTGGTGTAACATTTAAAAATTGTTACATCAACTAATTTAACTTCATTAGGAATTGAATTTGGAACAAACTACATAATTTTTTAAAGCTTTAAAATGTCTTAGTTGCTGCTGAGCCAAAAGACTTGGGACAGCTTCAGAATGTGTTAATGATGGCCCCTCATGGGCCACTGAGGTTCTAGTTTGAATTGAATACAGTTTCTGAGTGTAGATCCTCATGTGAATGTTTAGTGGCCCAAAGATATGCCCACTGTTTGGTTAAACTTTGTTTTTGGAAATACCTGCCTGTTTACCTCTGATAGAATGGTAGTGAGGAGGTAAAGTGTATGGGAAGTAGAAGGGTTTACCTAGGCATTAGTGGTCAGGGAAGAAGAGACTGAGACAGTTTGAAGGTAACTGGTTTTAGAAAAGGGGTAGGTGGGGAACAGTGACTTATGTAGAAGAATGTTTCCCATGATTATGTAATAATCATGTAAAAACCCTGGGATCTTGTGTATGTGTGTGTGTCAGAGAGAGAGAGAGGTGAGAGAGACAGAGTTCATCCATGTGGATGGCAGAGATTGACACCTGAAGGTATTCCTCAATCATTTCTCCACCTTATCTTTTTTGAGACAGTTTGTCATTCAGCCTGGAGTTTGCTATTTCCTAACTGGCCGGCCAGTGAGCCCACAGGATCTGCCTGTCTCTGCCGGAGTCTGGGGTTCCAGGTGCGCACCATGTCCTGCTTCTACGTGGGTGCCGGGGATCTCAGTGTAGATCCTCATGCTTATGCAGCAAGAACTTGACTGCTGAGAACCCCTCCCCTGCTGACACTGTATTTACCTGTCCTCAAGTGATTTCAGTATTAGGAATCTGTCTCTTAAGACAGAGTCTGCCACACATCCTAGACTGACCTCAAATCTAAGCTTAATTCTCCTGTCTCAGTTTCCTTATAGATAGGTGTATACCTTCTCACCCAGCCATTCCTATGTTTAATTAAACAACAACAACAACAAAAACTTATGCAACAAATGTGTTAAGGAATCAGATTGAAGTTGTCAAACTCTGAATAGTGTGATCATATGCCTTTTGGACATCTTGTAAAGAGTATTAATTATAGCCATATTTAGAGTGAATTGCTTATGTGGAAAACTAGGTTAACACCAAGTGACTTTATTTCTCGTTCTCTAAAACATATAGGCATTTCAGTCGAACAATGGAAGAGCTTGTTCACGATCTTGTCTCTGCACTGGAAGAGAGTTCTGAGCAGACCCGAGGTGGGTTTGCTGAAACGGGAGATCATTCTCGAAATGTGTCTTGCCCTCTGAAACGCCAGGCCAGGAAAAGGAGAGGGAGGAAGCGGAGGTCCTATAATGTTCATCACCCTTGGGAGACTGGCCATGGCTTAAGTGAAGGCTCCGATTCTAGTTTAGAGGAACCAAGTAAGGACTATCGAGATAACCACAATAGTAAGAAAGACCATAGTGACTCTGATGACCAAATGTTAGTGGCGAAGCGTAGGCCGTCATCCAACTTAAATAACGGTGTTCGAAGTAAAAGACTTCTGTGGCATGAGTCGGATTTTGCTGTGGACAACCTTGGGAACAGAACTCTGCGCCGTAGGAGGAAGGTAAAGCGCATGGCAGTGGATCTCCCGCAGGACATCGCCAACAAAAGGACAATGACACATCTGCCTGAAGGCTGCAGAGATCAGGAGATGGACAATGATAGAGCTTACCAGTATCCAGAGTTTACCCGGAATAAAGTTAAGAAGAGGAAGCTAAAAGTGATTAAACAAGGACCAAAAACCCAAGAGGAAGGAGTCGTTCTGGAAAGTGAAGAAATGAGCCAGATCAATAAGGACAAAATGGAGTATGAAGAACAGAAAGTCTCAGATGAGCTCATGAGCGAAAGGTAGCATACTATTACCTGCCAGTAACATGTCTGTCTGCCTGCTTGGGGCTGAGTGTACTTTGCATTTTAATTAATTCTGTTTTAAGATAATTATAAATTACCACAATGATAGTGCTATTGCTTTGTATGCCTTTATAATTAATAGCATTTTCACACAGCAAAATTGCTTATTTGATTTATGCAAAGTGTTAGTTATGTTATAGCTGTCTTGGTTTTCAGCTACAAAGAGAGAGAAGAAATGGCTTTTTTATGGGAAAGAATGTGCGTTGGAGTCTCTCTGCACTTCAGGTTGTCTCATTGTTCATGGCATTTGGGAGCTTCCACCTTGGGAGCATATAGGCTACATATTCATTATTTTGACTCCTAATGTTCAAAGTTCATTCCCTGTGATGTGTGGTGCTTGGTGTGTTGATCTATAGCTTGCTAGGGAATTCTGGTCACTTACAAAGGAAGCAGCTGATTTTGGTCCTTAGAGAAATGGGAATTGTGGCACTCCTGTGTTGGTTGGCTGTCTGTCCAGCTCAGGAAGCAGACCACCTGTATTCTCATAGCCACATGCTCATTGCATGTCAGAGCGGAATGAATGAGCCTCTGCCATCTATCCAGCTGCTTGTAAAAGCACCCGGCCCTGCTCATTGTGCTCAGCACACCCACTTCAACTTCTGAGAGCCAGAAAAAGTGGCCCTGGGGATAGCACATGATCTTTAGTTTGCAGCATTGGCCTCATTTTGATCTTGGTGATTATAGGCTTTGGAAATTTGTATATGTGGCTGTGTTTGTAAATGTGACTGCAGTTAGGAGGAGAACACAGTTTGAGTTAATTTTCTTATTAACTCTTAGTTTACTCTTTAGTTTTTCTTTAAAAAGTAAACCAAAGGTAAAGAAGTTTTTGATGAGTCTTTTGAAAAGTTTGTTTCAGTCAAGACTTAATTTTTGTTCAGGAGTAGGGTTGCTGTTCTGCCTCTTCTCTTTACTCATCTGCTGCTTACACTTTCCACCCTGGAACCCTAATGAGGCAACATTGGCACTCATTTATCTCTTCTCATTGTTCAACGACAACAAAACCCAGGGTCAAGTAGGTATATCAGGTTTCCCAGTCATTCACATCTCAGGCACATAGTTTAAAACTGATATTTTAGGTCAAATAAAGTTAGCTATGTTCCCTCTGATTTAACCTTTTCCTTATTCCAGTTTTCTGCTGCCACTTACGGGCTCAGTGCATTTTCTTCTGTGGGAAGTATTGCTGCAGAGTGAAGGCTTCTTCTATTTCCAGAATTTTCCATTTTTAAGAAGGTTAAAGTCCTTGGGGTTTTTGTTTGTTTGTTTTGTTTTGTTTTGTTTTTTTTTTGGTTTTACAAGACAGGGTTTCTCTGCATTGTTTTGGAGGCTGTTAGTCCAGCCCGGCCTCGAACTCACAGAGATCCGCCTGCCTCTGCCACCACGCCCGGCTTTTTTTTTTCCCCTTGGGTTTTATTTATAAGTAAAAATGTGTGTGTGTGTGTGTGTGTGTGTGTGTGTATAGGTGTAGGTGTGTGTTTATGGGTGTAAGTGTAGGGGTGTGTGTAAAGCATTTTATTACTGCAGTGTTCTTTGATGGCTCAAAGACTAATAACACAGGCTCTCTACCATGCCCTAGGCTGGAATAGACAGACCAGCAAGTATTGAGACTTAAGTATACTGTGTGGAAGGTACTTGTGAGTGAAGGCTTTCTCAAAGGGGCTGTATTCAAAGCAAGAACTAAGACTTGCTTTGGGAAAGGGAGGCATGGGGAGTCAGCAGGGAAATGGCATGCCTGGAAGAAACAGCCTGTGTGCAGACACAGACTCGCATCAGTGTCCTGTTGCTGCTAGGAAATAGAGGATGGGGCTGCTGCAGCAGCAGCTGTGAAGACTCGTGTGCTGTGGTAGTTTAGAGTTCATCTTGTAGGCAGTGACAAGTTTTGGCAGTGAAGAAACTTAGGACAATATAATCTTGGCAGTGATGTTCTGTTTACCTTTGGCTGACCTCATCCGTACCGTGGAGGGTAGTCTGTCTGCTGATAGAGGAAGAGGAATACCTGAGAGCTATTTTAAGAGTAGGAATCAGTGGGAAGCTGTAGAAGGGGACTTTTCTCCATCTTTCCCAGTCCTGGACCAGTTTTTTTCTCCACCTACCAGGTCTCCACAACACTTATGAAATAACCACTCTGAGACTTACTAACAGTTACAATTGTTTGGCCAATGGCTTAGGCTTCTTATTAGCTAGCTCTCTCTTAAAATAGTAACCCATCTCTATTATTCTGTGGTTGTAGCTTGCCGGTAATGCCCTGGCATCTTGCTTCCTTGGCAGCTACATGACATCTCCTCTGACCCTGCCTTCCTTCTCTCTCTATCTTTGTTTGGAATTCCCACCTAGATATAATCTGCCTGACCATTGACTGAAACAGCTTTATTCATCACATATACACAGTCTATAGAAGGCCTCCTACATCAGACCTCCTACATCAGGAAGCTGTATTTGGAAGGACAGTGCTCTCAAATAATGCCTTGTTTCTAGTCATGGAAAAAAACAAAAACTGGCTGCTGGAAATGAAAAGCCTGTCTCGTTAAATTCTTATTCTTAATGAGCATAGTGGCAGGGAAGTACATGTAACAACTGGCTAATTGTTTTATGTGTGCATGAAAGCACAGAGCATGGATCACTAGAGACTGGCATCACAGATTCTAGATTTCCACATATCTTGAGATTCATCAGGATGTGGACAGAGGTAGGCTTGCTTCTAGGAGAAAGGACATAAGCAAGAGTACAGACATAAAATGGAAAGAATTTATACATAGAATGGAAAGAATTTATAAGGAGCCTACCCATAGAAAGGCTTACAAATTTCATTCTGTAAGCTAAACTGATGCTTTATGCTTTACTTAGAAAGCTGCCATTTTAGGTGGTATGTGTATGAATGTGTTTTAGGACCTTTTAAAAGACAACTTTTAAGTTTACAGAAACATTACCAAAACAGTTTGCAGAGTTCATGCCTTTCCCATTCTCATACTTCAAGCCAGTTTCCTTTTATTGTTATTGAGTACGGGTATGTTTTTAAGTTGGTATTTTATTAGAATTATTGTTGGTTTTACTTAAAATGACTTCCTTCTGTTCTAGGGTATTAATTACATTTACACCTGTAGTCACCCAGTTGTACTGTAAAAAGGAGGACCTGTTGTGTGTAGGATAGATTGGAGGATGGTAAATCTGAACCCAGAAGACTGGCAACAGAAAAACAGCGATTGACTCACTGTTTGCAGGCTCAATGAGTTGGACTTTTATTCAGTAAGCGTGGTTGGACTTGTATTCAGTAAGCATATTCATTGGTGTAATTGAGAAATATGGCTGATCTGATTGGGGCCATTATAGAGTATGCCTTTGTGGAATCCAAGGGATTCTGAATTGTAAGTATATTTTGTGGGTTTCGAAAAAGGAATTGTGCCTGGGTTGTGTTCAAGAACTTTGTATAGAAACCGGAAAAGCAGTAATACTTTGAACCAGTACTACATAGCTAGACAGTTAAGCTTCTGAGGTGTCCTTCATTTTTATGTAAGACTATCTGTGCTTGTAAATAGGATGGTGTCAGTTCAGTACCTTAGAAATACTATTGCATATTGATTGTATAGGAAACTTCATACAGTCAGTTTGAAGGAAGTTGAGGGAAAATGCCCTAATTAGAGCTTCAAGGGGGGAAAAAATGTGTTTCTTGACAAATTCTTATACCTTTCATGAGTTTAGTTTTGAAAAGCAGGTAAAATCGGAAATTTTGTATGCAAAGGATATGTGGATTTAGGCCTAGCAATGATTTTTATCATAAATATTTTATAATTTTATAAGATAGGATAATGTGCCTGATTTTTAATAAGCTAGACTACATTGTTTTAGATTTTAATGGATAGATTATTTTTTATTTAGGGATGGAGGTAAAGGCATTTGCACCAAGCCTGATTGATGCCCTGTGTTTGATTTTCATAGCTCTTCTGATCTCCATAACTTCCATATACATATCTTGGCACACCTCCCCTGCCCAACACACACAAATACTTTCTTTTAAAAGACAATGTTAATTTAAAAAATCCCAAAATCCCTAGTGACAGTTACTTGATTGATTAAAATCAAGACTCGAGAGTGAGAACGTACATAAGAGCTTTTAAAGATCAACACTCAGTTGTCTTAGGGGCCAAGACTATCATGACTTGTTCTTATTTCTTCCTATTTTCACTTCCTTGAACTGTCATATAAATATTGCTTCCAGTAGACTAATAGTGGTTGGTTCTTTTTTTTCTCAGTATCTGTTATTTACTGAATTTCCATAGTAAATTCGAGCCTGTGTCTTATTCTCCAGTTTATGCAGAAGAATGGGAAGCCTTCTTCATAGTGGTCTAAAACTCACTCTGTTGCTTGACTTTGAGCTAGTGGGCTGCCACCATCGCTCCCTTCCTTCCTTCCTTCCTTCCTTCCTTCCTCCCTCCCTCCCTCCCTCCCTCCCTCCCTCCCTCCCTCCCTCCCTCCCTCCCTCCCTCCCTCCCTCCCTTCCTTCCTTCCTTCCTTCCTTCTTTCCTTCCTTCCTTCCTCTTGTGAAGCAGTGGAGTTGCTGTGAATTGTTAAGAGCCGTTTTTCTAGAACATTTGCAAGTGTGCTTATGAAAGTCATTTCATGCCGGGTCCTGGTGTTTCTGTGCTAAAGACAGGCTTAGCCAGCTACTGATGGAGACTGCCCTGGCCCAGTGAGCACTGGGGTTTCAGGGTCAAGCTGACCATACAGCACAGCATAGGAAAGGAGCAGTGAGCATTTGGTGAAAGCAGATAATGGAATGCATACCTTGTGTCCCCACTCCTTGTAGTCACATCTGACTCACTGTCCGGGGCCCATTACATTCCTGGGGTCTTACGTGCCCAAAATAATATGTTCTATAGTTAATGGAACCACAATAAATGCAGTTTGATTAAAAAAAATTTACTTTCTTTCAGATCTTTGTCAGGCTCAAGTTCCATTTCTGAGCTGCCATGTCTCTAAACTTTTGACAGACAGATGAACTGTTGTTGTGATGTGTCTCATTTTTCTCCTTTTCCTGCTTACAGTGACTCCAGCAGCCTCAGCAGCACTGACGCGGGCTTGTTCACCAATGACGAGGGAAGACAAGGTACTGAGATAGTTTCCCCTCTTTAAAAACTCATTTAAAGTGTGCACACTCCTGATTGTTTTATAAGCTGCCAACAGTAACTCCTTGAGATTGCAAGTACTGCTTAGTGACTTAGCTGGTTTCTGTACTTCACGCAAGATGTCTTGGTTTTTTAACCCAGTGATAGATGTCTAAAAAGTAGCATGTATCACTAAGCTTTGCATACTTCAGTGTTTGCAATTTGTTCCCTTTTAGCAAGATTGCCAGACATGGATTTTATTCTCCGCCTTATTCCAGATGTTTGTAAAACTGTGTAAGCATTCATATTCTTAAGAGTTGATTTGCAATGATTTGTCGTTTTTATTCAGTTGTTACACTTTATTATCCCATTTATAAGTAATTAAATGTCTTTATTAATTCAATATTATAAACTATTAAACAGTATCTTACATCTTAGGTGTTTTCTATCCTGCAAAATTCCAGAATCTGTTTAGACTTTAACATACCAGTATTTTGAAGCTGTGAACAATCTGAAACCCTTGTAAAGCAGTGAGGAGAAATCCTTGCTTGGACCGATTTCATTTAGTCGCATCAGCCCGTAACTGGTTCTCTTATTCCTTGTACAAATCATGAAGTTGAACTAACCTTATGTGTACTTATCACAGAGTATCTTTAGTTCTTAGAATGCATTATTAGAGCCAGGAGTAGTAGCAGATACCCTTAATCCTAGCACTTAGAAGAAGCAGAGGCAGGCAGGGATCTGAGTTTTAGACCAACCAGGGCTACTTAGTGAGACCCCGTCTGAAAAACCAAACCAAGCAACAAAAAAAAGAATGCATTAGCAGAAAGTAGGTTCTACAAACTTAAGTTTTGTTAAAATACAGATTCTACCCAGGTTATAGAGGTTGGTGATATGATGAAATAAAGTGATAAACTTTGATCAAAAGGGACCTCTTGACAAGGCTGACATCTTTAGAAGTCACTGGCACAAGATATAGCAACATTTATTAAGACTTTACTGTAGCTCACATTGCTAAGATATTTTCTAGCATTTAATTTACTTGGTTCTCACTTCATTTCATTTTTTTCAGAACTGTGTGAGTTCCCAATTTTTATTTACTTTTCAAGTGGGGAACTAATACAGTTGAAATGACTTTCTTAATATTACAGGACAATGTTTTTTTAATTCACCTATCTGATTCTTGCCCATGCTTTTAATGAATATTTAATTTACTTCCTAAGAATAGTATTGCATATTATATAAAAGTAAAGTCAAATAAGTTCATTTTTCTCGAGTGGGTTTTTGTTTGTTTTTCTTTTTGAGACATGCTCTATGTTTATATTGCACAAGTTAGCCTTTCATTCTTGACCTGTGCCTCAGCCTCCCACGTGAAGTAGTGGGCAGAGTATGTTAAGGCCATTCAGATATAAGGTAGTAGTGTCAGCTGAGTCCCTGCTTAAGTTAATAGACCTGCTCTATAACATTTAAATTTATCTCTCCAAGCCAGACAGTGATGGCGCACGCCTTTAACCCCAGCACTTGGGAAACAAAGGCAGGCGAATCTCTGTGAGTTTGAGGCCAGCCTGGTCTACAAAGCTACACAGAGAAACCCTGTCTGAAAAAAACCTTTTTTTAATCTCCTTTGAAATATCAATATTTGAGTTCTGTAAATTTTAACAAAGTACTTTTTTATTCCCTAATTCAAACACTCCTGTGATTTTTCATGTTACAATTGCTTTTAATTTTCACTTCATTTGAACTAAATCTGTCATTCTCAGCTTGCTTTTATGCAGTTTTTTGGCATTGTTTTTGTTTCACAATTTCAGTTTCCATTTTAAAATTTCATAGTAAGAGGTCTCAAATCAGAAGTCTCATAAAAGGGAAAATGATAGTCACATGAAAACTCTTACCAAAAAATATCAGTACTGGTGGCTTCTGGAGAATCATGGGAAGATTTTGGGACTCATTTAAAATCTTACTTTTCTTTTATTTTTATAAGCTGTCCACATTCTGTACTTTTTATCATTTGAAGACAAAATGTTGATACTCACGGAGGTTAAGTGAATTTTAAATTGTCATTTATAATAAATAAAGTTACATCTAGGTACTACATCGTCAATATTAGAGAACAAATGTTGTTCTTTACCTATTTCCATGGTAAAACTGAATCAACTGGGGGCGCTTTTGTCTTTGCACAGGTGACGATGAACAGAGCGATTGGTTCTATGAGAAGGAGTCAGGGGGAGCGTGTGGGATCGCTGGAGTTGTGCCCTGGTGGGAAAAGGAAGACCCTGCAGAGCTAGACAAAGACCTCCCTGACCCAGTGTTTGAGAGCATCCTCACTGGCTCTTTCCCCCTCATGTCGCATCCTGGCAGAAGAGGTCAGTAGCGCTTCTGGGCTGGCTCCGTCAGCTCCCGTTCTTACTGGCTAGGCATGGAAACAGACTGTGAACACAGGGTGCAATGAGCGGGACCCTAATGCAAGCCAGCCTGCGTTCAGCTCATTCACTCTCACTCACCAGGAAGCTGTTTCAGGAGTGCACACTGGGAAAGAGGACTGACTGGTTAGGTGCCCGCTGCTTTAGGACCCTGCTGGGAATTGATTGCCTCAGTTCTTTTAAGTGGGTTTCACATTTCCCCAGTAATACTTGTGGTGTTCACCACTACCATCAAACTAGTTTTAATTCTCTGTTGATAGAATCTTCTTCTATGCTCCAGTGATCACAGTATCTTCTAAATTGCCTGTTTGATTTCCCAGGTTTCCAAGCTAGACTCAGTTGCCTTCGTGGAATGCCTTCAAAGAATATTAAAAAATCTGGAGGGGCTCCACCTTCAATGGTAGGCATGATTTCTTACTGAAATGTCCTGTTTGGAAATGTTTTCATTTCTATGGAATAAAAAGTCACATCCTCACCCTTTATTTATATTCTAATGTTATACTTAAAAATAATCCATTTTCTTGTAGGCTACAAACTGGACCAGTGAGATTCCCCTATAAACCAAATCTTCTATTGCTAATAAATTAGTTACGTTTTGAACACCTGGGGAATGGCATTCGAGGGACCCTGGCTCCTGTCCTCTTCCCTGGAGGAATACACTGAAGTGCGAGCCTCTTTGATGCAGACCTGGGGCTGTTTTGCTGCAGGACTGATGTTTCTTTTAGCCAGAAGTGAATCTGATTGGGAGGATTCCCTGAGATGTAGGTTGGCCCAGGGTGGATACAAACTACTGTATATTTTATATATTTTTCTCTCTTGTGGTTTTTAACATTGGATCTATTTATGTATTGCTTGCTTTGCCAAATGCTAACAAGGGATAGAAAACTGAAAACTATATTTAACCCAAGTATTCCTATGACTGGTTAAGATTCAGTTTTTAATCTGATGTGCAAATAAAAAATGATGTATTGCCATTTATGGTTCATTTTAGAAGAAGTCTTCTATACCAGCATTATTTAAAATACTTGTGTTTTATACTCAGGGTACTTTGTTTAGTAAGGGCTGGTGTAAGTAGGTGAGGTTGGTAATCTTTTCTTGAGTTTATCTTTTGTGAAGTTTACTTCCTAGTAGATTATTATTCTGTATTACAAACCTGTTGTATTTTATACTATAGTTTTCATTGTACTCCAAAGTCATCCTACCTCTAAAACAGCACGGTGATGCCAAACTAGTCTACATTAGGGAATCACCTGCTGTCACATTGTCATTGGTGTGTGTCTTGATGCCTGAACTGGTTACAGCTGCCTCACTGTCTCAGAGCTTGATGACATCATGTGAACCTGGTGTTTTAACAATACTGTGTGACTGAGTCTCACTGTCCTGTCTATAGCAAGATGCTTGTTCTTCCTCGGATGGCAGTCCATGTGTGTCACTGAGGTTCAGGAATGCTCGTTTCATCAAGCAGGAGGAAAAGCATCCCGGTGGGTGGCATAATTCTTATAATGTTATTTTTAATTGATTAATATTTTTGGTGATTTAATGTTTTCTTATTGTATGGTTTAGTTGTCATTTCATCATATGATGGCTAAATTAAATATGATGGAAGGTACCTGAAGTTGGCATTACCTTACCTAAGAGTATTGTGGTCTGGAAAATTGAAAATAAAGTAAGTAGGAATGTTTGACAAGAGAGGTCACAGATGACACGGTACACGTTGATCCTCCTGACTGTCCCATATAACAGGTGCGGTGATGTGCTTAATAACTGCATTAAGGATTTTTATACTGTCTCAGAGCAAAAATCCGTGCTTTTTCCTGAATTACAGAAATGCTTTAGGTTTGTACCGTGACTGCCCTTTAGGTCTGAATAAGTCACTTGAATGCCTCAGCCTATGAACTTTGCCTCACCAATCATGAATCTAGATGAGCACTATCTAATTTTTGGCTCAGCTTTACCTATTTTTGTTTTTGGTCCACTGCTTGCTTGAGCATAGCTGGGATTTGTAGCCCATTTTCTAGGCTTATTGCAGCCTCGCTGTGCTGTTTTATAGAAGCTATTACATCTGATAGACTGGCTTCATGCTGGTGATGATACATGGCTGCGCCATCCTCGGAGCTGCCTCCCTCTAAATTGTGAAGTGGTGAGTAGGCCGCACTGAAGATTTCCATACATGTGTGTTTAACATGGGGCGAGCACATTAGGCCATGGAGTGTTTTCCAGGTCCACGTTGCTCTACTCAAAATTCTGCTGAACACAGGGCACTCCTTAAGGTTTTTTTCTCTCAACCCTGGATTGTCCTTGTTTACATTTTTACATACTGTCATGTTTTTTCCAATAAAATCTTTGACTTGAGCAAGAAAGGTAAGACTTTCAGTTTGTGCTGATGTATTCTAATACTCTGTATGTTTTTGCTCATAATGTATGTAGCTTGCTACCTTAAAAATTTTAACCTGCTAAGACAGTCATCATTAAAGGTCGTCCATCATTTCTTATGGTAAGAAATTAATTTCAGTTAGCATAGATTGACACTGGAAACTCAAAGTATACATAGGAAAGACTCACGTTAGGAGCAAATTCCAGCATGTGTAGATACAACCTATTAAACAGGACGGCAGCAGAGGGCTTCAGTGGGTAAGTGACACCTGCACACACGCCGTGATGGGGTGCCTGTGAAGAGAATGAGCGTGTCACCCACACACCGTGATGGGGTGCATGTGACGAGAATGAGTGTGACACCGCACACACGCTGTGATGGGGTGCATGTGACGAGTGTGACTCCGCACACGCCGTGATGGGGTGCATGTGACGAGAATGAGTGTGACACCGCACACACGCTGTGATGGGGTGCATGTGACGAGTGTGACTCCGCACACACGCTGTGATGGGGTGCATGTGACGAGAATGAGTGTGACACCGCACACACGCTGTGATGGGGTGCATGTGACAAGTGTGACTCCGCACACGCCGTGATGGGGTGCATGTGAAGAGAGTGACAGTGTGTCACCGCACACGTGCCGTGATGGTGTGCCTGTGAAGAGTGTGACACCCACACGTGCCGTGATGGGGTGCCTGTGAAGAGTATGCATGCCGTGATGGGGTACATGTGAAGGGAATGGCAGTAGGAACTCACTGAAGTATGGGGCGTTCTCAGTCATTGCCCTTATCCCTCACACACGTGTTCCGTGAAGTCACTGTACTCATCCAGGGCATCGGAAGCCATTTCTCCTACAGCAAAGGCAGGTTTGGGTTGTGTGTGGGTCTTGGGTCCTCATGTCCTCATCAGCTGTTGACTGAATAATGTTGTGTGTGTGTTTATGTTTAAAGGTATTTACTGTGTATTGTTGATTCCCAAACCCGGAATTATGAATAATAGCACCATCACCGAAGCCTGAACAAACTTCTCTAATGTGTGTTTTCTCCATAAGGGTCACTGTGGCCTTCTCATGCTTAGTAACAATGACAGACTCCACTTTCAGCTGAATTTGGGGCCATTGGAAGAAGTAAAATTACCAGAAAAAGCACAAAGCTTCAGTAGATCCATACAAAGGAGCCAGGGCTGTAGGAAGGAGGCCTGGTTCCCCTGGTTCTCCTGGTTCCCCTGGTTCCCCTGGAGTGCTTCCTTCCTGAGGCAGCTCAGCTTTTTCATGGCTGTGCACATGCCCGTGAATATCTGCAGAAGTTCTGAATATTGGCTTTCAGGTTGCTAGCTGGTGATAATCCTTCAAATTTGGAATCTGCAAGGAGGAACAAGAAATGGCTGTGTATTTGTGGAAAGCAGAGTACATGTCAGATATCCTGCATATCAGATAGCTACATTATGATGGAAATCAGTATCAAAATTACAGTGTTATGAAGTAGCAATGAAATAATTTTATGGTTGGGTGTCTATGACATGAGGAACTTTATTAGAGGGCTGTAGCATTAGGAAAGTTGTGAACTAGAGGCGCTGTTTTCTTTATAGAAGTGCTGTCAGGCTTGAATGAGGTTAAAGTATATATATATATATATATATATATATATATATATATATATATATATATGCATGCTTAGGTCCCTCTTCAGCACACAGTATATAATAGATAGTAATTGATGTTGTTATTGAAGATAATAAGCACTGTAGCTGATAATGCAACTTAATTTTAAGCATGAATCCAAGTATAGAATTTGACCTTAAACTTCTCATGCTTTATATATAATTTATATATAATTTGACATTACCTTAGTAGAGTGCTTTATTTTATAGGGTTTAGGTTTCCTTTGTATCTTATTTATGTTTGATCTGACTTTTGTCTTTAATATAGTCTGAAGATTTTTTTCTGAATTGACTTTTAGTTAACAAATTCTTAAGCTTCAGAATTGAACTTCAAGCTGCAAAACCCATTTCATCATGTCCCCTCCCTCTAAATCATTAAGCTATTCTTTTAGACTGTTTATGAGGTTTGAATCCAGTCTCACTCCTAAAAAAATAATTGTGCCCATGCATATGTGAGATTACAAGTCTGGAGAACTTATTCTGGATAAGAATTACTCAGCTTATGGCATGGTGGCACATACTAGTAACCAGCACTAGAGAGGTGGAGGCTGGAGAATCGGGAGTCAGGATGTAGAATTTGAGACCTTGTTTCAAAAGAGCAAAAAAAGGGAATTACTACTGTTGTATGATTAGAAACTTAATTTATTGGTACCCTGCTAGCCAGCCTTTTAGTACCTAATTTTAGAAGAATTGTTACTTCCATAGAATGTCCTAGGGTCATTACCCAGAAGATAACAGCCAGAATCTCTGACATTTCTAGACTGTATTCATTAAGTACAATTCAGAATGATAGAACAATAATGATGACAGACCCAAGTTTTAGGAAACCGCTTTTACGACATGAATTCAAGGAACTTTACTAAAAGGTAGCTTTCTGTGTAGCCAGGATGTCCTACTCTGCTTTCTTGACAGGATCTCACTATGTAGTCTTGGCTGTCATGGAACTCACTGTGTAGACCAGGCTGGCTTTGAACTCACAGAGATCTGCCTGCCTCTTCCTAGTGCTGGGATTAAAGGTATGTTCCACCACACCTGGCTCAGGATGTCCTACCCCTGAATATTCTAATTAATCTGTGTTTTCTGAGCATGAGAAAATTTTAAGTTCTGTTTTATTTTGTTTTGAAGTAGTAATTCATCAACAGGTATAATATGCACTAAAGTTATTCATGTTGTGGTAACTGCTAAAACATTGTGGGAAAAGACTCATCTTAAAACACATTATTGGAAAATCATTATTATGGAAGACATTGTAGTAAGATAGAAGGCTTTGTTTAAAATGTTTAGTTGCTTAAAGACCGGTTTTGTGTGATTACAGGAACATGTAAGGTACTGACGGTGTTTATTTGTTTTGCCAAAAAACCTAATAATCTGATTTAATTGATTTACCTATGTCTACATTTTCAAATTTAAGTATATAAACAAAAGTCTGAGTGTTAACCCCCTTCATATAAATTGTCATGTCACACTGTTCATACTCACAGTACCTGTGTCATTCAGAGCAAAGGAAGGGGTCTGTTCCAGGTGTTGAGACAGTTCGTTCAGTGGCTGAACTTGGATGACTGCTGTAGGTGCTTTCTTTAGGAAGTTTTGTTGACAGTGACCACCTTAACTGTAGTGAACTCTTCATATGTCCTGCTCAGTGTTTGTGCTGTAGTTTCTTAATACTCTAGAGTAGGAATATTTAGGCTCTTTATAGCCTTTTACTGAGAAGGCTCATTTAAAATGGAATTGGTTTGAATAAGGGATTTAAATAACCTATTTTCTCAGACTAGTCAAAGCGAAAAGAGTTTATGACAGAAAATAAATCTAAACTGACGTAAAATAACCCAGCCTGTTTCTGCAGCAATATTTTGATTATGTGGTGACTGTTATCCAAGCTTTTGTTAGTAGGTTTCAGCAGCTGAATCATTTAGTACCTTTCTTCCTGGAAATTTTGTATGCCTAGAGCATTTTTGTAGACTTTGGAGAATGTATGTTTAGAAAGTTACATTCTAAGTATGTTAATTATATGTTAATTTCATTTTCTCCTCAACATCAGCCTGAAATCTAGATTTTTATATATTTTAATCATAGAAATTTTCGAGATAAAATGGTTCTGTATTATAGAAAAGTGCAAATCAATAAAATGGTAATATTTCATAGAAGAAATGTAATAGTGTCTGTTTACTTCAATTTTTTTATTTTGATGTTACTCTATATTTGTATTGCAATAATTTAATAATAGTTAATAATTAAAAATGTAGATCCCATAACATATATTCTATAGCATTGAATAGGATCAATACTAATACTGGTATTCTTGGATTATATTTTATTAAATGTGAACATAAATATATTTAATGGTATATAGTCATATATTCATTTATTCTCTTACATTTGAATGCTTGTTCTCTATATTCTTAAAACTCCTTAAAAACATATATACAGAGAATCAACCATGATATTTCAGTCATACAAGATGTGACCACATATATTTTGCTGCTCTCATGACTTAGTATAGGTGTGGCCTCATACACTGGAATTTGGGATCTTCAAAATGATGGAAATGTGCAGACTGAAACATAATACAATGCTTAGTATATGCTAGGTACTTTCTGTATACTGTTTATATATTTAAATTAATGTGATTAATATTCCTATAATGTAGGTTTGTGTTTACATCTTAAACTGTTTTCCCTTTGGTAAACCAAAATTCATATGATTTGGAAGTTTCTTCATATTGCTGTCATGTTGCTAATAAATACAAATAAATTCTCTTCCTAAAGTAGTCTTCATTTCTATTTAACATATTCAAGTGTGAGTTATGTTGAGACATCCACACCAGTTTTCACTGTCCTAAATGGTAGCCACAATCAAGATGTGCTGTGATAATCATAAAGTATTTATAACTTCTATTGGATTAATAACTGGCTCTCGGGACGTTCTTACAAATCTTTAACGTTGTCCAGATCTAGAGCTTTCTGGTCAGTTTTTCTTCGGTCCATATTAATTTACTCTCTTCTCTTTTACTTCAAGGAAACTAATCATTTCTTCTATCATATTATTGTATTCATTCAACTATGATGAAATCTATTTCTTATGTTTTTTTTCTCTCTTGTTTTTGAAACCACTTGGTAGAATTCTGGGGCAGTCTCTTATAGAAACAAGGTACTTTAGCTATTATCCAATAAATGAGTTAGAGCTCACTAACTCATTCATGGTAGGAAATGGTAGGCATGAAGGCATACTAAGGGCTTTAGTTTGACACATCATGGAATAGATAGATTAATTAGATAGATGTGAAGGGGTTTATAGCAAAACAGTTCATCTGAAAATATGGGCAGGAAATAAGATCATACTCTCCATGTCATTCCTGGGCATACTGATAGTCATATAGAAAGTGCATTATGTAATTATAGGCTTTTATTAGAAGTTTAAATTCCATCCTACTCCTCCATTATGTGTGAGACAGAAGATGGACTGAACCTTAATTTATCATTTGAATCTTCTATGTGAGTGACATCCATGTATTCCACAAAGACTGGTCGGTATTGATTGAACAATGGTACGACTGTGTATGTCTCTAGGCCTTGCTTCCTACAGCTGTGAATGAGACTGACATGGTCACCTGTAGCCTATATTTTAATAAATAAAAGTAATCTTGGTTGGGGAAGAGTAAGCAGATAAAAGTAGCCATGGGGAACACTTAGAAAGGCAGTAGGATAATTGTAGGAAATGAAAGTTATTGAGTAAAACTGATAGGATAGAAACATTTTCAGCCTTAATCTATTGTTTATGTATAATCATAGTGATTATACCAAGGTTAATGTGTCAGCACTTCAGTTCTCTTCTGCCCTAAGGATATTTGGATGCCACACCTTCTACATTTAACAAACAAATTGTATTATAGCAGTACAAATTCTTAGGTCACTGTTTTCAAAATGGCTTCAGAGTAATATTTTTAGGTATCTATGGATTTTTATCTTTCAGACATAGTCTCAAGTAGACCAAGCTGGCTTTGAACTTGCTGTGTAGTCAAGGTTGACATCCAGCTTTCAAGTCCTATGTCACAAGCACACATTTCCTCACCTGGCTCTCTTGGACTGACTCCCTAATGAATCGTCAAAACACTGATTTTGGAAACATAGGAGGTATCTAGTTTCTGTGGATAGAGATTCTTTGTGTGTCTCAGGCTGGCATGAGCTCTCTGTGTAGCACTGGGATGACCTCCAGTTGATCTTCCTTCCTGAGTGTTCAGAGTGCTGTGGGTATAGACATTGCCCACCAAGTTTGGCTCTGTTTGAGACTTACAGTACACTTTAGAGTCTAGTTAGCTAAACACCATTTCTACTTTGTATCCTACGAAACTTCTAGAACATGTTCTAAATACTCCTTTTTTGTTTTTAAGAAATGAAGCCTGGGCATGGGGACACACCTGTAACCCTAGAGTTCTAGAAGCTGGACCAGGTAATCATAGAAGGTTAGAGCTAGCCAGGTTTGTTTACATAGTGAGTCCAGGCCAACTAGGACTATTTAGTAAGTCCCTGTCTCAAACCTACCCTCTTTCTCGATGTAAAAGGACTGATTGCTGTTGATTGGTGGCAGTGTGGTTTCATGAATGGACATTCCAGTTCACACCTTTTCCTGGTTGCCTTTTACAAGGTAGTGACATTGCCAGAGTCCCTATTTTCTTTCATTTTAAAGTCAAAAGCAGGGACATAGAAATGCATATATTTTACTTTTTGAAAACCTTGTTCAACTCTAGTTTTCTGCTTTTTATGTTGCTGATAAAATTGTTTTGATGGTCTATAAAACTCAGTTTTCTAATTTGCCTTTAGATATGTCAGGTACCTACTATCAGAAAAGTTGAAAAATCAATGATGGGTAGAACACTTCCAAATAATACTCAAGAAGCATTTTTTTTGCTCTGAAATCACCTGTACATCCTCCAACTGAAGGTCAATTTGCAAAACTGGGGATTCATGAAGAAATTATATTGATGGAAAGATTTTTTGTACTATTGAATTAATATTTTCCAAGTAGGTATTTGCTGGCCTGCCATCTAAGAAATTGGGTTCTGATAACTTAGAGATAGCCCAACTGTATACCTCAGTTTTAAGCCAACGAAACTTGTAATGTTTCTGTTTAATAATTTGTTTGCTAATCATCACAGTACTTAGGGAATAAACTGAAAGTTGGATGAATTTTTGCTGTTGTTCTGTTAAATGTAGCACCTTCTTCCTCCTAGAGTGTCATGTATGTATAGCAGGAAATTGATTGGGATGGTTTACTATGAAAGTTTCAGATCTGTGTAATATTGAACCTGTAGGGGTGTGTTTATGTTAGTTACAATATATTACAATTACATTTAAAAGTGTGTACTGGACTGTTAAGATTTCATATTAGCTTGGATTTGTAATATTTAGGCCAGATACTAGTATTTAACCTCTTACATATGCCTTTGATAGGCTCTTCTAGTTCTTTTCTATTTTTTGTACTGGGCATTGAACCCAGACCTCCCTCATCCCAAACAAACATTCTGCCAATGAGCTGCATTCCTAGCTCTCCTTAATTTTTTTTTTTAAATCTTGAGACAGGATCTTATTAAGCTGCCTAAGCTAGTGTCAGGGTCGTCCTCCTGCCTCAGCCTCCTTAGCAGGTGTGACTACAGCCCTGAAGCTCTTCTTAGGTTTTGATTCATAAAAATTTTACTATTTGGGGGGGCGGGAGAGGAGGGTATCTTGAGACAGTTTCTTTGTAGCTTTGGTTGTCCTCGGTAGATCAGGCTGGCCTGGAACTCACAGAGATCCGCCTGCCTCTGCCTCCTAATTGCTGGGATTAAAGGTGTGGCCTACACAGCCACAAAAACATTTTAATGCTTCAAATCAATTGTCATGTTAGTAAATATATATTACATCTGATTTAGAAACACGTTGTATCTAGCTTCTGACTTTAGGCACACATTCTTCGATACAATTCGAATGAAAGTTTTTGGTATTTTTACTGTACAATAGTATAGGTTAGGTATACTTGGTTAGACATGTATATCTTTGTCCTTAAGTGCTACGTTCGATTAGCATAAATTAATTTGAAAAGGGAGAGGGGAGAAAGAAACATTTGTTTAGGGCAATAGTGATTTCAGTGGGTCTTATTGTTGAATGTTTTCTTTACGTAATGGACCACACACAGCTGACTGCTCTTCTTCCCTGGCACGTGGCTGCCCTTTCTCTGAAGGCTCCTCTCACCACTCAGGCTATTTTCTCAGCCTCTTACGTTGGTAGGACATTAGTTTTTCTTGCCTTGTGGTTTTCCTTCTAATCCTTATACCTGTAACTCCAAGTAAACATTGGTAAAACATGCTAGGCTCTTGACTTCCCTATTTAAAAAGACAAAACAGCTTTCATTCCCATTGTAATAAAACCCAGAGTGTTTCTGTTTTCACTGCTTACCTGTGACCTTTGACAGTTCGGTCCTTCCCAGATGGTTATGGGCTTTTGGGACCCTGTCCCTGGTCAGTCCTTTCCATATTCAAACTTACCAGTTGGTCACATTTTCTTCCTCTGAGGCTCATACACTTGAAGGAGTGGCTCCTGTCCTTTACCCTTTCTTCAAAACCTTCCAAATTCATCTGAAATGGCACCCTCTCGGTTCTTCATCTCTCCACGTGTCTTTTTACCCATTCGTCTGTCTGTCTGTCTGTCTGTCCGTCGGTCTGTCCATCCCCTATGGTTTTATACTGTTTATCATCCACTTACTTTAGTATTACACCCTCTCGGTTCTTCATCTCTCCACGTGTCTTTTTGCCCATTCGTCAGTCTGTCTGTCCGTCCGTCTGTCCATCCCCTATGGTTTTATACTGTTTATCATCCACTTACTTTAGTATTACACCCCCGTTGTCTGTTACACACCATGGCAGTCCAGTTCCCAGCACAGCTTGTGCTTACTGTTTTTTCAGGATTGATAGTGATTAACTATGTCTATCTCTGCTTTAAGGGAGTTTTCTATAATTAACTTGCTAGGATGCCAGTGTGATTATAACATTATTTCCAACAAATAGTGGTTTCTAAAGTTCTTCCTTGTTCATAATCTGGTTGGTTATGTATGCATTCCATAACAATAGCATAGAAGATTCTATTTGAGCCTGTGCTAACAAGTTAATTGAATGTCTTGTGATGTGTGCCTTGCTTGCTGGCTGTGCAATTATGAGATCCTTAGGAACTCTACCTGTAGGGTTTCCCCTCAGGTTACCAAGGGAAAGGATGACTCAGGTCCACTAGCTGCAGGGAGCAGTCCATGTTTAGACTTCCACTGAATCGCCACGACTGTAATAATATCCTACTGGGAGGTCTGTAGGAACACTTCCTTTCTAATTTGAATTTTCATGGGATAAACTTTGACCCTGTGCCGAGACATAGGGCGGCAGTACTGATGTGAGTGTGGGCCAAGGCGTAGGATCCAGAATCAGCTTTCTAAAGGCAGATGTTCCGGGCCCGGAGAGATGACTGGGGGTTTACTTGTGGCTCTTCTGGAGAGCTCAGATTTGATTCCCAGCACCCACACATAGTGGCTTACAGCCTTCTGTAACTCCCACTTGAGGGGATCTGGTACTCTCTTCTGGCCTCCATGGGCAGCAGGCACCTATGTATCGCACAGACAAACATACAGGCAAAAACACGCGTCCATGGGGGAAAGTCCGAATCACACGGGTACCTGTTTACGTCATCCTGCACCTCGGTTCCCAAGCCTTCCTGGGCTCTGGCGCCTCACTCGCCTTGCTTTTGACTG